GCCCTGACTGGGAATCAACTGGCAACCGAAATGCACCTGGCAACGCCCAGCCAACTAAGCCACACCAGCCAGGGCACTCCCACCTCTTTTATCACACCTCTCCAGCAGATAACAAAATGCAATCCTGCAGGAGGAGTGAGGAAAAGAAGAGGATTTAACTCACACAGTTGTCCTCATATAGTTTTAACACAAGGTTCTCAGAATGAATTTTAGGAGTGAACTTGTCTCATTGCTTATCTACCCAGGGCCATTGGAGCTGTGTTAGTTCAGTGCTGTATCTTAGATTGTAAACTAATCAAGGTCAGAAATTATGTTTGTCTGATTCTCTTAGTAAAAGGACACATGCAGTGGGTACTTTTGAAGGTCTTTTGCATGCTTCTGCTGCCACCACCACCACCACACACACACACACACACACACTCACACACTCTCTTAGGTCATTATTGCTAGCCATAGTAGGACAGGATGTTGCCAATTTCCTTAGATAGCACCAAGATGAATCTTGGCTTAGAAAGGCAAAAACAGTGTGGAGACTCTTAATCCCAGAGAGATGATATTACTTGGGCATCTGGGCTTGCCCCCACCCAGACTCAAGGGCATAGAGCCTTGGCACTTGGAGGTGAACCCTGCACACTTTCTCTTCGAGGTGGGGACTGTGGGAGAGTGCAGATTGAAGGCTCTATTTTTCTGCTGTAGAATTTGAGCTATTATTTGAAACTCCCTGTTCCTTATTAAATGGTTGACCTAATTTTTCCCCTTTATCTCTGTAGTGGTGGAGATCCAAAAAGGGAAGACAACTATAGTAAGTATCATCAAGTTGGCCATTTATAACCTCTTTAACACTTGGAGCTGCCTGGCTGCTCCTTTGAGGGAGGGGAGGAGGGAGGTCCAAACTGGACTCCTAGCTCCAGGACCAGCTCCCTCTGTGACCATAAATCACAGTCTACTATTTTTCAAGCTGTGTGCTCTAGTGTGGTTCATCAGGAACAGTCACTTGTACCTGGATTGAAGCATCTGTTACTTGATTAAAATAGCCATGTGGATGACAAGATCTCAGAGGTCTTTACTGATGTGTTCTTTGGAGGGTGATAAATTAATTTTCCAAAGGGGAAACTAAGGCAATGGCAGGACTAAAGAGCCAGAGTAAGTTGATCCAGGGCCAGGCTCCTGGATCTCCGCTCTTCTCCTTTCTGCCCAGAATGACTAAGCTGCTCCTTAGGTGATGCCGTTAAAGGTGACACTCTCTGGACCCTGGGCTACTAGCCAGCACCCTGACTTGTCTGTTGGTGAGAAAGCTGGAAGGACTTGATCCACCTGCTCCCCCTTTCCCTTGTTGGGCCCATCTCACCTCCCTTCCTCCAGGAGTCATGGGGCCTAGATTATCCTCTAATCCCTAAAAGACAGCGTTGTTTTCACATGGCTTTCCATGCCTCCCAGAAATCCGCAGCCGCTCCACAGAGCTCCTAGAAGCCTGTATAGCTTCCATGTCAACCAGGGGTTTAACCCTTCTGGCGGCCAGCCAAGCAGTCTTACCCCAGATCAAGGTTTTCGGGTTCCCTTTTTGGGTCTTCCCCAGAATGCTCCCTCAGCTTTTGCATTCCTTAACCTCAAAATAGTTCTTTGAGGGGGTCCCCACCCCCTTAGGGCACCTTGTTTATTTCCTTATTCAAAGCTGAAACAAGCATTTAGCCTGTGAACTCCTTGCTGTTGGAGAGAAAACACATCTGGCTTCTGAGTGTGAAGACTGTTTTTCATGTGGGGCATGAATTCGCTATTGGTAGAATGAACATGGAGACATGGTGGCATTAGGAGAAACTTGGGGGAGGGAGCCCATCCATGCCTGGAGAGGCGCTACCTTGGCTGATGGTATTTATCGCTCACTCTCTGGGGTCTCACTTTCTTCATCTATAAAGTAAGATCATGATGCCTCCCTCCCTAGGCTGTGGGGGTTAAATGAGATGATACATGTGAACCATGATTAGCACAAAACCAGGCATATAATGGGGAATCAATGAATGCTAGCTCTTCCCCCACAGATCACCTTAACCCCTCTCAAGCCTACTCACACCTACATATTTTTCTTAGCACACTTCTCTATTTCTGGCCTTGGCCGAAAGGTAGGTAGCAGTGCCCTGCACAACCAAGCATTGCTTCCAGCTCCTCTCCTGTTTGCCAGTTCTGCCTCAGGAGACAGTGTTGCTTCCCTTCCAAAGCCTCTGAGCCCTGTCCCAGCCTCGCTCTCCTAATCCATGGCTTCAGTCAGCAAGGCTTTCTAAACTCCCGTTGCCATTGGAGCTGACTCCCACATCAGTGGTCCGTTGCACTTAGTAATTCCAAGGCCTGTGTCACAGGATCCAACAGCCACAGCAGAGGTCATTTTGCACGTGGCCTCAGCACAGTTGAAAAGGTGGCATCCAAAATAATGAAAGCGAGGAGGAAGATGGGAATGTATTCTCCCAACTGTGTTTTTAAAAGAGAGAGAGAGGGAAGCAGCAGGAGTGCACACGGATATCTGCTCGTCTAGGCACTGTTGGCTGGCATCCTAGGCTGGCCAGTTCTTTGTTGGGAGGGGCTGTCCTGTGCACTGTAGGATGGTTAGCTTCCCTGCTAGCTGCCAATAGCACCCCATCCCCCAGCTGTGACGGTCCATTAAAAATGCCTCAGACATTATTCAGCGTCCCATGGGGAAGAGTGGACAAAATCATGGCAGGGTAAGCACCACTGGCACAGACTTCGCTCTGTAAGATAAAGCTGGAAGCTGCCGTTTCCTCAGAAGGATAGGTGGATGGGAGGGAGACTTCCTGTGGACTCTACATCCCTGCACAGTTTGAAACTTTTTACCATGTGCATTTCTTACTTCTGCCCAAAGGTGGTTTTTGTTTGTGTGAGGAAGGAAAGGTAGCGTTCAGCTGATACAGCAAACCTCTCCCTCTTGCCACCAGCATTAAGTGCAGTTTCCACTGCCCTTAAGGCTACCAAGTCACTTCTCTGTGGACACTGCAGGGCCCAATATGTAGCCATTGCAAAACCACCACCATAGGTCCAGCCAAGACCTATTACCTGTTCCCACAAAACTCCCAGAGATGAAGTTACACCAGCAGTCCCACCAGATTGGAGAGTTGCTCAAGGATTAGTGACCGCACAGCCCTCTCCCTCACTGGCTTTCTTTCTCTGCCTCCTAGATCGAAGGCCGTATCACAGAGTCTCCCCGGGAAAGTCCAAATCCCCCTAACCCCTCTGGCCAGTGCCCCATCTGCCGGTGGAACCTGAAGCACAAGTATGGCTATGAGGTGAGTGTGCAAAGACACGGGGCTCTGCATGTTATAGAGGTCATATTCCCTGGTTAACAAGCAGCATCCCCGCCCCCAGCCCTTCCCCCATGGCCACTGCTGCATCCCATGGAGCCACCAGAGACAAGCATTTTGTCCAGTGGCTCTCAGCCCTGCTGCACATTAGAATTACAGGAAAGCTTTAAAAAGCGTTCAGGCCCCACCCCCAGACATCGATTCAGTTGGTCTGGGGTAAAGCCTGGCCATCATTATTTTTTAAAACTCCCCAGGTGATGATTCTCATGTGCAGCCAGGGTTGAGAATCATTTAGTTCATTGTCTGGTTGCGTGTGAATCAGACCACCAGAGCCCTGTACCCCAGTCTTGCAGGGTTGTGTTCCCAAGAGGAATCAGGATCTGAGTTTGGCTTTCTTTCTTTTATAATGAGAGGCTATTTGGAAAGACCTCACTGTGATCTGGAGACACATTATTGTCTCTGTGTTGGAGCTACAGAGACCCCCTGTTTGCTCCAGCTCTTCTACCTCTTCATCTGTTTCCACAGGATGATGACAGTGAATAATAAGCACCTTGCATTGAGCACATGCTCTGCATCAGGCACTGTTGTAAGCATTTACACATCTTCATTCACTTAGTTTTCACAATATCCCTGTGAAGTAGGTACTTTTTTCATCCTGGTTTTACAGGTAAGGAAATTTGAAGCAGGGAAAAGTTAATGAACTTGCCTCAGGTCACCCAGCTAATTATCAGACTCTGGAGATACAAACCCCACTACGATCCCAACTATTACTCTGCATTCTCTAGCAATGGGGAGGGCCTGGGGAAGAGGACACAGCCCTGGAGAAATTCACACTTGTCCTTCAGAGTTCTGTTGGTGGCATTAAGCACCCTATTTTTAGGTTTCAGGTGGTTCAGGCTCTGGGCCAATTTGACCTGCCCGTTGTCCCTGTGCCCCTCTGTGGAATGGATGACTAAGGGCAGCGATCCCGGTCAGGTGGTAAGAGCAGGAGAGGCCACATGCCCATGGGATCTGAACAGAATGACCCAACTAATCTCCCAGGCTGGGAGCCTTGGCTTTAGGCCACCAGGGGTGGTGAGGGGGTGTTCTTTCACTCTGCCCTGGGCCTTACTGCTGATGGCCGCCTGGAGTAATAGGAAGCTTGCAGGCCACGGGGCAATATTCACAGCTTCTTGTTACATGGAAGCCAGTGGGGTTGTGGCCATACTTGGAATCCCAGCTGAAGATGGGGAGGTGAACCTGCCTGACCACCATGGGGCACTCTTCCTACCAGCCGTTTCCAGGAAATAGACTTGGCTCTGTTTACCCAGCAGAAGAAATCCAATCCCCTCCGAGGTAAAGGCTAAAGTTGTTTTCCTTTTACCCCTTTCCACTCAGGACACCGTTAGCCTGAGCTGCACAAAGCTGTTAACTTCCTTGGCAATGGGGGAGGCTAGGGCAGTGAGCCCAGTTTATTAGCCCTGGATAATCCAATCCAAGTTCTTTTCATCAGATTCGGAAGATTACAGGGGTGGGAATTGGGGGGTCTGGGTCCCTCAGGAGCTGTCCAGTGATTAAAACAAATCTGCGGTTATACAGCGAGGCGCCTGCCAGGGCAGCAAGTCCGTTTGTGGACATGATTGCTAAGACGGGTGTGCCAGGCTCCTGGAGAGGGGGGCTGGGGGGGGAGGTGGTGGCTTTTATTTAACCCCCTCGACTGTCCTGTGAGAGTTGGGGGTAAGAAATGGTCTCTGGTCCTGATTTTGGCTCTGTTTATCCTTGTTCCCTTGACTCTTCAAAGCAGTCTGATGGCCCAGAGGAAGCCTGAGCGTCCATCACATCCGGTCACTGGGGCTTAGAAGATGGGGGTTAACTTCACAGCCTTGGTTCCTTCTTCAGTGTGTATCCTGACTAGCCCTTCAGAGGGAAGGCACAAGGTGGAGGGACTGTCTGCATGTACTCTGGCCTGTGGCACAGAGGCTTTGTGGGCAGAAAGAGAAGATTTTCTCCTTGTATGGAAATACATGGCATACCCTCTGCCTGGGAGAATAACAGGCCTTTTGTCACCAGGAAAGATACTGCAGGTGAAGGAAAGATTGTTAACACTTCTTGAAGAGTTTCTATTCTCTATCAAAATATTATCTTGCCCTAACCAGTTTGGCTTGGTGGATAGAGCATCGACCTGCGGTCTGGGGGGTCCCGGGTTCGATTCCGGTCAAGGGCATGTGCCTTGGTTGCGGGCACAACCCCGGTGGGGAGTGTGCAGGAGGCAGCTGATCGGTGTATCTCTCTCATCGATGTTTCTAGCTCTCTATCCCTCTCCCTTCCTCTGTAAAAAAAACAATAAAATATATTTTTTAAAAAAAGATTATCTTATCGAGGAGCTAAAAGCTCTTGGGATTGCCAATGGGGTCAGAAAATCTTACTAAGTTGGGATTTAGCCCGGCTGGTGTGGCTCGGTGGTTGAGCGTCGACCTATGAACCAGGAGGTCACGGTTCAATTCCCGGTCAGAGCATATGCCCGGGTTGCGGGCTTTATTCCCCAGTGTGGGGCGTACAGGAAGTAGCCAATCAATTATTCTCTCTCATCACTGATGTTTCTATCTCTTTCCCTCTCCCTTCTTTGAAATCAATTTTAAAATATTTTTAAAAAATAAATTTGGAAAAAAAAACAAAAACAGTTGGATTTAACTTTTGTAAGGAAGAAGGTAGTAGACCAGTGTGCAAAGCTCTGTGTGGAGGGAGTAGTCTCAGGTCAGTGCCCAATAGAGACCTCAACCTCTTGGAGTGCCAGAGTCAATAGCCTCCCTTATAAGTCACGTGGCCTGGCTTCCCAGCATCAAAAGTCCACCCCGGTGACCCTCACCTCCTATTTTCTGTTTCTTCTAGGATGTTCTGCTGCTCAGTCAGTTCATCCGGCCTCACGGAGGCATGCTGCCTCGAAAGATCACAGGCCTGTGCCAGGAAGAGCACCGCAAGATTGAGGAGTGTGTGAAGATGGCCCACCGAGCAGGTAGAATTCCCCTTGGGGCTGTAGGCGCCACACCCCCTTCCCCCCCACCAGCTGCCCCATGTTGTAGCCCCTCCTGGAAGAGTCTTCATTATAATCCCCTCAGTGCCAACCTTCCACCCCCTTGGCTTTCCCTGTGGCCCCCGGGAGCTGCAGAGACCATCTCCTTATATGCTCTTCCCTCCACTCAGGTCTGTTGCCAAATCACAGGCCTCTGCTTCCTGAAGGATTTGTTCCAAAAAAGAAACCTCAGCTCAACCGGTAAGCACACTAGGGTGTCAACACCCTGAGCATTCTGCAGGCCCCCAGTTCTCACTGTATTCTGCCGAGAAAGCCATTTTTTAGAGCTCATCCCACAGCCCAGGAAAGCTAGAGTGTTCTTTGGCTGTCCCTCCAGCTTGAGCACCCACCCCCATTGGTCCCACCGAGGCTGCAGTTGACGATGCACATGCTTCTATCACCCTCCCCTGCTGCCCTCAGCCCTCTTTCCTCTTCCCTCCCTAATAGGGCACTTAGCACAGAGGCAAGGAGCGTAAGGAGGTTTGCTGGTTGGGCATTAGAATGTGCTAATCCCCTGTTGATGACATCATACTAGGTTGCTATGGGAATGTCAGAGCACTTCAAACTTGTAGTATCCCAGCATTGGGTTTATTAAAGGGCAAAATGAGGCTTTAAAAATGGGAGGGCTCTCTGGGTGGGGCCACTTTATAACTGTGCAAGTTGTACACTGCAAAACTTGAAGGCAGTATCCACATAGACTAGATTGTGAATGGCGCTTCCTAGAATTGTATACTTAACCTGCCCAGCTGCACGTGCTGACTCAGCAGGTCCTGAGGTTTTAGAGAAGAGGAAGCCCCTAGATCCTTAAATCAGTCAGTCTGCCTTTCATCCTAAGCAGGGTGGCACCCTCTGGTGTAGGAGCAGACCTAACGCTGTCATCCTGTTGTATGTTCCTTCCCTTCCCCCATATCTGTTATAGCCACACTCTCATACTCCTAGATCTGTAATACCCCCTATTGAGAGTAGAGCCAGGACTGTAAAACTGATTTTGGTATTTATTCTTGTTCTCCTCTATCAATGGTTCCTCCCTCTTTCAACCTGTCCAGCTGCCACTGGACTTGACCAAAGATGGTTGAAGCAAAGCAAGACTTAACCCACCCCCTAGCAAACCTCCTAGTCTGATCCCTAACAGAACCCAGGCACGAGGGTAGGAGTTTAGGCAAATACCAGCCACAAATTGCTGGGGTGGCAGTGCAGGGCCAGAGCTGGGTCTTCATTGATGCCTCACCACCACCCTGGCCCCATGCGTATCTCCACCTGCCTTTCCCACATGGTTAGCTGGGCTATCTGCCCGCAGTCCTGGGGATCAGGACCTAGTAACCGCTTTCTGTCTTTCCCAAATATGCTATGGACCATTTGGGGGTTGAGCCTACCCCCACCCCCCGACTTAGCAGCAGGCCTAAGGACACAATCCATCCTGCCCTCAGGCCTTTGAAGTGAGGCCAGGCTCCCTCCCATATATCCGGTGTCCTTTAACGTGACACAGGATTGATGATGTGTGGGGGCCCTTGGGTTGCAAAAGGCCACAGTGGGGGAGCGAGAGGGGGAGTCAGAGTCCTGGCTGCGATAGAGGTTGATTCCCTTGCGAGGGACTTTATGATTCTGTCCAGAGGCCCTTGGGCTTTGGGCTCAGGGGAGCCACACTTCCTTCCTTCCTCTGCCCCTTCAGGAGTGGTAGGAAGGAGCCTTAGTTCTTCCTAGAGCTGGAATCTTCCCAAAAAGCTGCTGGAGGCCACCCAGGCACCCCTCCCCCACCAGCTGGCTGCTTCATGTGGCACAGGCATCAGGCCCAGGGCTAGCTGAAGCCCAGCTTCCTCAGGTCTCTCCAGGGCAGGGGGGGACACTTCTAGGGCAGCAGTTCTGGAGAACCCGGTCAGCCTGGAGGATCTTCTGGGGTCCTGACATTCCAATGAGCACTCTTTTTGGGAAACCAGCTCCCATATCCTACCTCTTTACCCATCCCCTCTGGAAACTGGGAGATGCTAGCCCAGGGGCCTGCCAAGTATTCCTTTCCTTACCCTTTATTCTCCTGCTGCCCCAGAACCAGCAGCCATAGGAAAAGCAGTCCCTCGCCTGTCCACTCCTCAGAAGCCTCCCTCCCTGTTGGGGCATTGACAGTGACAGTGGCAGGAGACTCAGAGAAGTCCTTCCTGCCCGCCTGCCTCACACTTAGGCCAGCACCTCCCCCAGCTCTTACTCCACTCAGAGCTGTTTCTTTGCACAGGGCTGAGAGCAGAAGACTCAGTTGAAATGTATAAATCAGCAATCATTTTTTTACTTTTATCTAAAAATGTTCGTCCAAGTGTATTTTTTTTTTTAATTAAAAAAATCTATCATTTGAGAGTTTTTTGGAGCTGGCTGTGTTGAGTCGCAGCCTAGAGTGGAGGCAGGGAGGATCCTGGCCTTTGCCATAGCTGAGCTTTTAGGATAAAGGGTGGGCCTCTCTGGACAGGCTCCAAGTTTCACTCTGAATGGAGTAAACCCCAGCCCCAGCCGACATGAGCCACTGTTCCGGGAACATCAGCGCCCTGGCCACCCCCAAAGGAGGCCAAAGGACTGGGCGGCAGCCATCTTTCCCCACCTCTCCTACTTACCCCCCTGGGCCCTCACCCTTGGCTCCCATCATGGGTTGAGTGAGGGGCAGGGGCCTACACCAGTTATGGCTGCCCAGGGGAGCTCCCTGAAGGCTGGGGGGGCAGAAGGAGCCAAGTGGGGAAGAGGGAAGGATTCCTCCAGGCCCTTACATCAGCCTCTCCTCTCCCCATGGCTGAGGCCACAGAGGAATGATCTGCTCTCTGAGTAGCCTCTTTCTCCACCTCCTCCCCCAGCAAATACACATAAACATTGACAACTCATAAAGATCAAGGGAGCGCGTGGCCCTGGGCTGCCTGACCCTGGCCACACACGCTTACGGCAACAAGAACCCAGCCCATCTGTTTACAGCACACTCAGCGGTTGCTCCCAGGAAAAGCCCCTGCTCCTCAAGGAAGGAAAACTAGAGAAAGGGTTTGGTTGGACAGCCACAGCTTTGGCCTGAGGAGGCAGTGCCCACTCTCCCAGTTCCAGCCCGGGCCCCCAGCCTTCAGCCACTTCTTGGTCCTCCCTCCACAGGTACCTGACCCGCTGGTCCCGCCGCTCCGTCAAGCCCATCTACAATAAAGGCCACCGCTGGAATAAGGTGCGCATGGCTGTGGGATCACCTCTCCTGAAAGACAACGTCTGCTACTCAAGAAAGCCTTTGGTGCTGTATCATGGTTAGAACCTGGCCAGAGCTCCTGCACTCCTGCCCTTCGCACGGCTGGCCTGGCCCCTCCAACATGAAGGACACAAGTGGCAGTGGGCCACCTTCAATGCCCTCCGCCTTCCAGCAGCAGTGCTGGGAGGTGGGGGCAGGCAGGGCAGTTGGGTTCTTTGGCAACTACGATGGTCTCATGGCTAGTTGCGGCCATACTCTGTGCTAGGGGACAGGAGTTTTGCTCAACGAATGTCATAAACCAGGCTCATGTTTCACCCACTGGATGTGTGCTCACTGCGTGGGGGCTTGGGCCTGTTTCCGGCCAGTTACTGAGCAGAGTCACTGATCTCGTGCTGGGCTGCATAATGCAACTGAAGGGAGTTCATGGGCTGAACAGGTTCCCACCCTCTGTTTTGACAGCTGTTAGTCTGGGGCCTGGGGGCTGCAAGGAGGCGAGTTGGTCTGCCTGGCCTGTGTACAACTCTAATGTGAGTCCAGGAGCTGCCTTCCTCAAAGGGCTTCTGGCCGTCACCTCCCACAGCCATTTCCACCCGCCATTCTCTCTCATGTTAGCACATTCCGATCCTCTGCCACTTGCTTTAGAGCTGGGTCTCCCGGCTCCTTGGGCCTCTCCTCAGAGCCTGGACACCAGATGGAGGTGGAGTGTGGGGAAACGGCAAGACAGAACAAACAGACCAAACTCACTGAAATGTATGAAAATAATGCTGATGCTCTACATACGAAGTCCCTGGGCGGGCCCCTCCTACAGCATGAAGGGCAAGTCCATGTTCTTCTCACCAGTGCCCACATAGATGTAGCCACAGTTCTTGGTGCCCGGAGCGTGGAAGAAGGTGAGGCCTGGCCAGAGCAGGCTGCGCAGCACCACCAGGGCGTTGCCTCGCTCCATCTGGATGCTCCAGGACCCTGGGGAGGAAGTGAGGTCTGAGTGCTGTGGAGCCAGAGCTCTGCCCGGTGTGCAAGGCCCCAGCTCCCTGGGCAGCCAGGCCCAGGTGCTAAGGTTCCACTCAGAAAAGGGAAGACAGTTTAATTATCCCGGCGCTTCACTCCTCCTGATTGCCTTTTAGCCATTTCACTGTTCATTAAAACGACTTCCAGGGGGAGGGCAAAGGAAATGAAAGGAGGTGAAACTCAAAAGGAGTGCGTTTTGTTCCTGTCAGCAAGTCTAGTTAAAGGTTGAGTGGGGGAGGAAGCGGAATCCAAAGGGGGAGGGGATTGGAGCCGGTTTGGGGAGACTCTCCCGGCTCTGCTAGGGGTAATCACCAGTGACCTTCATTCCCGGTGCAGTTTCCCCCACTTGCTATTTTGCTCTCTCGTACCCTGTCCCAGAAGCCTCTGCTCTGAGATAGATTAGACCTGACCAGGGGCTCACATAGAAGTTTGACCATTTCAGGCCTGAAGCTCAATAGCCCTCTCTGGCTGCTGGTAGACTGGGAGCTGGTGGCGGGAGGGGACTTGGGCTACAGCTAATGAGCCTTTGTCTACCCTGGGTCCTGCCCTGGTTTTTGCTCCCCAGACAGGAGCGGCCCAGCCCAGGGCCGAGTTGTGCGGCCATGAGGACTTGGCGGGAAGGACCTGATCCATCTCCAGAACCGAGGGAGGGAGCCGCTGTGTGGGAGGAAGGAGCCTGGGAAAATCGCCTCTGGATGCAGATCTAGAGCTTCTATTCCCCTGCGCACCGAGGCCCCTCCCGGGCCCGGCCGCAGCTCTGCTCCAGACCCTGCCAGAAAGCCAAATGCTTTGAAGGTTTTGGTGTTGGACCAGCCAGTGATGCACTGAGAGCTGTGCTGAGGCCTTCATCGGCTGCCAGCTCAGCCTGGCTGCTTGGCTCCTGCTGCCCCAGCTTCCCACAGGCCTCCTCCAACCATGGCCCACCCTGGTCACTCCACACCCAGCAGCCTCGCAGTTCAGTCCCCACCCACCAGGGGCCACCCTGTATCCAAGAGACCTGACCACCAGGAACCCCTGGCCCTGACAGCAGCTCAGCCCTGCTGAGGGTGCCGTCACCTGCCCAAATCCAAGCCAGAGCTTTCTGGTGCATGTAGGTCAGCTGGCCCTGGCCCGCCTAGGGAGAGGCTGGCGGGGAGCCCACCACAGCTCTGTGCAGTGGCCTGCACCAAGGGCTGCCACCCATGCAAGAGATGATGAAGTAGAAGCTACAGGGATTCCACTCCCCTAGGCCCACACAGTGCTGGCCAGACAACATCAAGAAGAGTGTCCCCCTGGGTTACCAGAGCTCTGGCTGGGGCACTGCCTAGGAAGGGGGGCGGGTGCTTTCCTGGTCAGGGAAAGGGAGTATTTCCCGTGGCTCCTACAATTTTCCTCTCTGGGCACCTGAAGTCCTCCACCTCCCAGACCTGCCCTAAGAGGCCTAAGGCCCTGCCTGTTGCTTTCCTAGTCAGTCATTCAGAAAACATGTCTAGGGGGTAATGGGAGTGGGACAGGCCAGAGCAAAAGATTCCAGGGCACTGCATTCAGCGTTTGGCCAGAAGCACAGACCCCAGGAAGGTACCTCCCTTAGTCACCCCCATCCAGTGCCCAGAGCATCATCTGGGGACAGTCCCTCCCTGTCGTTGCTCACAGCCATACAGTCCCCTTGAACTAAGAAAGAGCAGGCTCTGCCCACTAGGGAGGGCAGCTTGCAGCTGCCTGAGCCAAATGCTGCCCTGGATAAATGGGTCCTGGTGTCCTCCAGCCTAGACCACTCATCACTTCACTATTGCCGGCATCTTTTTTTTTTCCTTTTTTTGCCAGCGTCTTGGCACACCCTGAGCCAGGGCTGGGTCCCAACCTTACACCCACCTGCCCACCTAGGGTTTGGTCACCTCTTTCCTTTAGCAGTTGAGGGGGCCCAGGCTTATTAGCAGGGCTCCCCGCACTCCCACTTCCTGAGAGCAAGGAGAAACGGACAGGGATGCTAGAGAAGTGCAGTGACCCTACGGGGGCAGGGGACAGCAGCGCCAGCAGGCGGAAGGGTGCTGGCCAAGTGTGGAAGCGGCATGTGAGGGGCCAGCCAACAACACTGCCTCCCTCCCTCCCTTGCATTCCTGTCACACTCCTGTCCTCCTCTCCTTGTTCCTGGCTCAGCTGGTTGCCCAGGAAACACACAGACTCTCAACGTGCCAGGAGTCACGTAGTGTCTACCTGGGAAGCCAGGCACTTGCTTGTCACCTTCACCCACTTTTCTTCTTGCTGGAAAGGCTGGGCCCAGCCAGCTGCTGTTGCCTCTGCCCCTCGGGGGTTCCAGGAGAGGTGGCCTGCTGTGGCCCTGGTGTCTCAGTTCACAGCCCAGTCTCCCCAAAGCTCCCCTCCTGCCCCCTGGCGCTCACTCCATTCTGCAAGCTGCTTTTAGAGGCTATGGTGGGGAACAAGCCGGTAACCAGGAGCAGGGCCTATTGCAATCTGCAGGAAGTCCTGGGTGCCCAGAGCCCCAGGCTCTCACCCACCTTGCTAGTGCGGAAACCTCAGGCGAGGGTATGCTTCTCTCGGTTAAATTCTCCTGCCCTCCAGGAAGAAAGGCGGCAAAGCACTGAGGTTCCGTTGATGGGGACAGTGGACCAGGCTGGGGATCAGGGCTGTCTGGGGCAGCAGGTAGCTTAAACCCCTCAAACCAGCACCATACAACTTGTCTCAGACACAAAAATAGGCATGGGGTTCCGTCTCAGAGCAGCCACCACCAAGGGCCACAAGGTATGGTCAAACCCCCTAGAGCAGCGGTTCTCAACCTGTGGGTCGCGACCCCTTTGGCCGTCGAACGACCCTTTCACAGGGGTCACCTAAGACCATCCTGCATATCAGATATTTACATTACAATTCATAACAGTAGCAACATTACAGTTAAGAAGTAGCAACAAAAATAATTTTATGGTTGGGTCACAACATGAGGAACTGTATTTAAAGGGCCAGAAGGTTGAGAACCACTGCCCTAGAGGTTGGGGGTGGGTAGGGTCCTATAGAGGCGGAGGAGTGCCCTGTCTGATTGGTAAGGTCAGGACCTGGGTCCAGAAGGCCGAGCACCTGTTAGCCAGGCTTCCAAGGGACTGGGTAGGAGGAGCCACCTGTATACACCCCCAAGAGAAGGCTGATTGAGGGTCCCATGTTCCCCACAACTCTCCAATGTTCCTGTCCCCCGTTCTCCCCTGTCCCCGCCAACGCCTCCCCAAGCACCACCACCACCACATTTTTAAAGGCTGCTTTCCCGGCAGGCAGGCCCCTTGCTGCCCTCTGCTGCCTGAACTGGGCATTGCTGCTGAGGGCTCTCTTGTGCTGGAGCCTCGGCTCCCCCAGTTGAGAGAGGCGTCAGCTCCAGTGCAGAGTGGAGCAAGGAGAGAAGCCCTGCCCTCCACCCGCTCCTGCTCTGCTTCCCTTGCTGCTCTGCTTCCCTTGCTGCTCTGCCTGCCCCTCTCTGCACAGGACACAGTGACTTCATTGGTGAGGCACCTTCTACTTTACATTTCCACTTCTCATCTGTTTCATTTATCTTTCCAAACCTCCGTGAGGCAAGGATGGTGCCTGTCTTGTTCACAATGATGTCCCCAGTGCTTGGCGCATAATAGCTGCTCAGTGGCTATTGCTGATGAAGTGAAAGGTTAAGGAGCATGGACTGGCAGGGAACTATCTAGAAATCTGGCCTCCTGACCTGGCACTCCATCTGTTTCCCGTGGCTGCAGCCCAAACTCACAACTATTAGCTGTTTGCCTGCATCCACCAGGAGGATGGTTCTGCCCCCAAAGCTACTCACTCCCACAAAACTGCAGACCCAGGGCACGACAGGACAGCTCAGCAGGGCATCCTGGCCCCGGGCTGATCTCCAAACCGACCTCCATGGGCACAGAGCAGGAGTCCCAGGGACAGGGCCAGCCTGTGCCAGACCTGCTCACAAGTGACACGAAGTCCCCTGAATGACTGCCTCAGACCCAGGAAGGAATTAATGAGCTTTCCTGGGCAGGAAGTTCCACCCCGCCGGCCAGTGCTGGTGTCCCAGGGAACTCTTCCTGGGGCCGCCTTAGCAGCCCAGCCCATTCCCTGCTGTCTGCCTGGCAGAGAAGCCTCCCAGCAGCTCCTCCTGCTCTTTAACTGGCAGATAAGGGAGGGAGTCTGGGAGCTAAATCAGTGTCCGCTCTCCCTGACGACACCTCCATCCTACACCATGGCCCCCACCAAGCCGTCGTGAGAAAGGCCGGGCCTGGCTTCCTGGAGGCTTTCAGGTGGTGGCTTTGGGAGGAAGGGAGCTGGAGGCCCAGAGCTGTGAGGTTTCCCAA